GTAAAAAGATATACCAACAGTAAAAGTTAAATGGAAAAAAGATCTCTATGAAAACAAGCTAATTCAGAAAATTCGTGTCCCCCGCTTAGGGAAAAAGTCGGCTCCCCCAGACTGAATTTGTAGAATTATTAAATGTATACATGTATACTGAAGGAAATAAAATACATGTATGTCAATATGCATATAAAGATTTGATTAATTATTCTTCATTATGTGTATAGAAATTTTTTTATATGGAATTTTTATCACACTGTAATGATGATTTTATAACCTCATAAATTTTTCATTTCACATGCTGAATACTATAATTTAGTAAAAAAAAAAGTATTTAAAAAAAAGAAAAGAAAAAAAGAAAGGTTCGACCGAGATTCGATCCCGGGACCACTCACACTTGAAGCGAGAGACATAACCACTAGACCACGGAATCGCTTTACATGGTGTGAAGTATATGCAGAAGTGAAGTCACATACATGTATATATTCATGTTTTCATGTTCGGTATTCTCAAAATTTTACACAATCCATGGTGTTTGATTTATTTAGCCTTTATCAAACAGTTCTAATAGATGTAATAAGAACATAAAGTCCGCCGAGAACCTGTTTTATACGCAATAACTCTCCTCATGCCCCTGCGCTAAAAATAGCGACATGTAATACTATAAATACTAATAAAACAAACGGGGCGGGGCACTTTGAGAGGGGCGAGAGACGTCCTAGGGAGTTTTGGTATAAAATTACATTGCATAAGCTCAAAATCTTCTTGAAATATCGCCCGGCAATGATAGCACTAGACACAGACAGAATGTATAAATTTACGACCTTGAACTTTGACCTTTTGACCTCAAAATCAATAGGGGTCTTCATTAGGCCACAGGGAGTTGTTATACAAGCTAATTCAGAGAATTCGTGTCCCCCGCTTAGGGAAAAAGTCGGATCCCCCTGACTGAATTTGTAGAATTATTAAATGTATACATGTATACTGAAGCAAATAAAATACATGTATGTCAATATGCATATAAAGATTTGATTGCTTATTCTTTATTATGTGTATAGAAGATTGTCTTTATATGGAATATTTATCACAAATTTATGATTTTATAAACTCATAAATTTTTCATTTCACATGCTGAATACTATCATTTATTAAAAAAAGAAAAGTATTTAAAAAAGAAAAAAGAAAAAAAAGAAAGGACTGACCGAGATTCGATCCTGGGACCTTTCACATGTGAGGCGAGTGACATTACCACTGGACCACGGAATCGCTTTATGCAGTGTCAAGTATAAGCAGAAGTAAAGTCACATACATGTATATATTCATGTTCGGTATTCTCAAAATTTTACACAATCCATGGTGTTTGATTTATTTAGCCTTTAGTAAACAGTTCTAATAGATGTAATAAGAACATAAAGTCCGCCGAGAACCTGTTTTATACGCAATAACTCTCCTCATGCCCCTGCGCTAAAAATAGCGACATGTAATACAATAAATACTAATAAAACACACGGGGTGGGGCACTTTGAGAGGGGCGAGAGACGTCCTAGGGAGTTTTGGTATAAAATTACATTGCATAAGCTCAAAATCGTCTTGAAATATCGCCCGGAAATGATAGTGTTACGCACAGACAGAATGTATAAATTTACGACCTTGAACTTTGACCTTTTGACTTCAAAATCAATAGGGGTCTTCCTTAGGCCACAGGGAGTTGTTATGTAAAATTTCATTGCAATAGCTCAAATGGTTCTAGAGATATCGTGTGGAAACGAAAGTGTTTTAACAGAAAGAATTTGCTTATTTATGACCTTGACCTTTGACCTTTTGACCTCAAAATCAATAGGGGTCTTCTTTAGTCCATAGGGAGTTGCTATGCTAAATTTCATTGCAAAAGCTCAAAGGGTTCTCGAGATATCGTGTGGAAACGAAAGCGTTACAGACAGACAGAAAGACGGACGGACGGACGGACGGACAGACGGACGGACGGACGGACAAACCCAAATTAATATCCCCCACTTTTCAAGCGGGGGACAATAAAATTTCATTGCAATAGCTCAAGTGGTTCTAGAGATATCGTGTGGAAACGAAAGTGTTTTAACAGACAGAATTTGCTTATTTATGACCTTGACCTTTGACCTTTTGACCTCGAAATCAATAGGGGTCTTCTTTAGTCCACAGGGAGTTGCTATGCTAAATTTCATTGCAAAAGCTCAAAGGGTTCTTGAGATATCGTGTGGAAACGAAAGCGTTACAGACAGACAGAAAGACGGACGGACGGACGGACAAACCCAAATTAATATCCCCCACTTTTCAAGCGGGGGACAAAAAAATGAGTCCCATTGTATGTAAACAATTCAAATCAAAATCTTACAGAATCATTATTACGTGTATTATTTCAAAGCATTCAAACTATTTACGTAAATCAAACCTTTAGATGTAAATAAAACATATAATCAAATATTAACTCTTTGCCCCTTGCGCTGTCTGTGACGTAATAGTAGCATTACATTTGTTAACTTTTGATGACGTTATCCTTTTCCACGTAGCGCACTTGCGTTTTCGTGCTGAAAAGACCTGGTTTTGAGGATGCATTTACACGGGGTATAATTAGCAACTGTTGCCGTATATATTATATCGCCCTAATATTTATACAATCATCTGTAAAATGAATTCAAGTATTTGTCCCCCGCTTGAAAAGTGGGGGATATTAATTTGGGTTTGTCCGTCCGTCCGTCCGTCCGTCTGTCCGTCCGTCTTTCTGTCTGTCTGTAACGCTTTCGTTTCCACACGATATCTCGAGAACCCTTTGAGCTTTTGCACTGAAATTTAGCATAGCAACTCCCTATGTACTAAAGAAGACCCCTATTGATTTTGAGGTCAAAAGGTCAAAGTTCAAGGTCGTAAATTTATACATTCTGTCTGTGTGTAGTGCTATCATTTCCGGGCGATATTTCAAGAAGATTTTGAGCTTATGCAATGTAATTTTATACCAAAACTCCCTAGGACGTCTCTCGCCCCTCTCAAAGTGCCCCGCCCCGTTTGTTTTATTAGTATTTATATACTGAAAGGAAAAAGAAACGCAGGGTAAACTTTTGAGGTGAATTAAATTTGCTTTTCTTAAAATATGCTTTAGTTTTCCTATCTAACTTTTACTTGTAATCATCTTTCAAAAAGATGTAACCAAATTCCCATTTGATTTTGTCTAATAATTCATGAGTTATTGAAGCTCAAATGACGATACCCCCCAAAAGTGAAAATCGAAAACATTAATTATCTTCAATGTCTCTCCCTTGCATCTGTCAGAGCCTTATTTCTCCTTCGCATGGAATTTCATGAGAGTGTTTATCTTTCAAACCCTGGCTATATTTGGCATGGGTAATCACGCAAAAAAATCAGTCAAACGGCGTGCGCATGCGCCAGTGAGAGGAATACAACAGTAAGTTGACTGGCTCAAAAAACCAAATTGCGGAACTGTTTTCTTTCAATTTTCGTATGAATGTAATGATTATAATCGTCTACTGTATAAATGGCTATTTTTGTGGTAGTAAGGTGGCAATTTAAGAGATGACAGGACAAATAATTAGCTAGTAACATGGCTCTGTTTCGCGTTAACGTCATCGTCACGATTGATTGAAAACCATTCCAGACCCTCTCTGACAACGGGTAACAAGTTTTATAGGGGAGAATTTACAAGAAACTGCTTAGTAAACCGTTGTTGCCTTTTTCATTAATTAGACAATTCGAAAACAAGACCCCATTTAACTTCAATAAACTGTGCCAAGATTGCAAGAAATTCATAATGTCTCTTAATATTGAAAAACGATGTGCATACCTCATATGCATCAAATAATGCAACAAGATTTGTTGATAATCTAGTCGTTATCAAATTGCACGTGTTTTAGGCTTTTTAGCGTTTTCCCTACGTGACGTCATAAATTTTACGGTTGAGTAATTCTGAATACTGATTTTGGTGCACAGTAACTAAATTTCTCTTCTGACCAATTTTCGTAATTTTCGGTCATGTGGTCAAAATTTTTTCGAACATTATGCTACCCTGCGTTTCTTTTTCCTTTCAGTATAGTATTACATGTCGCTATTTTTAGCGCAGGGGCATGAGGAGAGTTATTGCGTATAAAACAGGTTCTCGGCGGACTTTATGTTCTTTTTACATCTATTAGAACTGTTTAATAAAGGCTAAATAAATCAAACACCATGGATTTTGTAAAATTTTGAGAATACCGAACATGAAAACATGTACATGTATTTGACTTCAGTTCTGCATATACTTCACATCAGGTAAAGCGATTTCGTGGTCCAGTGGTCATGTCTCTCGCTTCATATGTGAGAGGTCCCGGGATCGTATCTCGGTCGATCCTTTCTTTTCTTTTTTTTAAATACTTTTTTTTTACTAAATGATAGTATTCAGTATGTGAAATGAAAAATTTATGAGGTTATAAAATCATTATTACAGTGTGAGTAGTATAAGGGGCCTAGATGGCTGGGTCAACTGAGTGCACTTTTGGGGCTGGGGGATAGCTGGGTCAAGGGAGTGCAGCCCCTGGGGGGGATAGCCTGGTCAAGGGAGTGCAGCCCCTGGAGGGGATAGCCTGGTCAACTTAGTGCACTTTTAGGTCCTGGGGGATAGGTGGGTCAAAAGAGTGCAGATTAGTGGGGTCTGTGGGGGATAGCCGGTTCAATTCAGTACACAACCCCTAAATACGGGGTGTTTACACTGTGTTTACATTATACACTACGCTGCTACTACGATTCACAACGCTGCTACTACGATTTTGGCAACTAGTAAAGAATGTCATTATGACGTCACTCATTCACAGTCAAAAGCTCAGCCTAGCCTAAAACCAGTTCAAACTGGATTTCCTCAAAACAATAACAAATAACACACAATAGAAACAAGAACACAGATTTTATTCAGAATCAACCAAAGAGTGATCGTAAATTTCCAGCGCTGGTTTATATACCATTGGCTTGTTTAGGGTCGTGTGCATAAATAGGTTGGACTTACCTTTAATCATACTGTGTACGATTTTGTACACAGTCTAGTCAGCGAGCTTACCTATTCATTGTGACATCATACACTTGTAAAATTAAAGTTTCATTTTCACTTTTGTTTCTAAGAAGTGAACTTACATTTTCAGAAAATGTAGGACTATCTTTTGTTTTTTCCTCTCTTTTACTATGATGATTTTCCTGCTGTGAAGCTTTTCTTGTTTAAAGCTCAATTTCTCTATGACCACGGAAGTAAACATCCTGATGCATTCTTACCATGTGAATGTTGAGAGCGGGTTCATTTTTGAAATCTTCTTTCTGACAGACATATTCTATATGTAAGTTTGTCTTATTTTTGTTTACATTTCCTATGAATTTCATCTTTGCATTTAACAATGATTTATATGTAAAGTTCTATTTTGAATGTAAATGCTGTATTTATCCTCATTTCATGTGATTTACAGTTGTATAACCTGTGTGTAACTCTGAGTACATTTTATATTTGTATGATGGGTCATTCTATGATTGAATTTAAATCAGAAAAATTTTCACTAAATTTTGGTAAAATACATGGTATTTTTTACATTTCTGTCCCTTTTGTCTGTGAATTATTGCTTTACTTACATTGTAAAATGAGGTTAATTTGTGTATCACTGAATTGTATGATTTTTTTCAGGATCAGCTGAGAATTTGTGATTTCACTGGATTATTTAATGGATAGGCTTATTAGGCATATGTTTGGATATCTCTGGTAAGTTTGTCTTGTTTTCATTGTTTACATTTCTTATGATGGTCATCTTTGCATTTAACCATTATTTATATGTAAAGTTCTATTTTGAATGTAAATGCTGTATTTATCCTCATTTCATGTGATTTACAGTTGTATAACCTGCATGTAACTCAGATTGCATTTAATATTTCTATGATGGTTCATTCCATGATATTGAATTTAAATCAGAAAAATATTCACTAAATTTTGGTAAAATACATGGTATCTTTTACATTTCTGTCCCTTTTGTCTATAAATTATTGCTTGTACTTACATTGTAAAATGAGGTTAATTGTGTATTACTGAATTGTATGATTTTTTCAGGATCAGCTGAGATGTTATTTCACCTGGATTATTTATTGGATAGGCTTATTGGGCATATAGTTGATTATCTCTGGTAAGTTTGTCTTGTTTTTTAATTGTTTACATTTCCTATGAAGGTCATCTTTGCATTTAAGCATGATTATATGGTTAATTTAATTACTGTGCAATACTTATGTGATCTGTTGTCTCTAACTTACATTTATATAAGCACACCCTTATTTAACCTAAGATATATTAACACATGATTAAGGGATCCTCAGAATATTATTAAGTCCTTTTGTATAAATTATATGATATAATTTCATAATTCATTATGTATAAACCCATGGAATTCAGACTTACTAAATGGTGATCAAAGAGATATTAATTAGGAATCTAATAAGAGAAAAGAAGGAATTTACAAAAGATTAATTCTAATTCAATTACTTTTGTTTTGATTCTAAATATGTGTGATATATGGTATACATATAATTTCATTTTCACTTTTGTTTCTTGGTAATGAGCTTTTCAAAAAATGATGGACTACATGTTGTACTGTGATGATGCTAAAAAAAATGTATTTTTCTGTATGCAGTACTGACAGTTATTAAACTAAATTGAATCTGCTGTAAATAAAAAGTCTTTTAGTGTCTAAATAATTAATTTGATAATCATTTTATTTGTGATATTAATACAGTAATTGTGCTTTTTTTATTATCTTAAGATAACATGATGAACTTTTCTCATCTGGAGTTAATGTTAAAAACAATTTTTCGAGATTAAAAACAAATATTTTCATGATCTTTTTTGACATTGTACATGTTGTATTTAAACATGCATTGTTTCATGCAGTAACAAAATGGTTTTATTTCTACAGTCATCAACATGGAAGGTATGGTTTGTTCCTAACCATCTATAATCAATTCTCTATGAAGTTCAGACTGTCTGCTGTTCCTTTGGATATACACAGTTAGTCAACCAACATAGAAACACACAAACTTGAAGGTAAAGATTCAGTGAGATACATTTGTAATTTTTATTTATTTATTTTACATATGCATGTTTATATTTTTGAATTGATAAGTAAATGATATATATGATTTTTTAAATAAAGAGGACTTGGTGGTCATGATCATGTTTTGACTATATTGATCTCCTTTAGAAGAAAAAGAAAAGACATAAAAATGCATGATCAATTTTTAAAGCTAAAATGTATGAAGTTTTTCTTTGCCAAATGATTCTTAACAGCTGAAGGTAGCATATTTATAGAATAAGTTAAATATGGCTAATTTGTTAACCCCAGCTTCCTTAATAGCATAGTTGGTAAAGATAGCAAGTTTTGATTCCAATTGCTGATGAATTCTGAATTTTTCATTTAATATTAACATTATATCACAGGGAAAGAATACTATAATGTGGCCCATCAGGATGATCAGAAAAGAAATCTTAATGACCCTCTTGATTTATGTATAAAGACTGTAACCTTATAACTGATGTAAGATGATCTGAGTGTGTGGAAATAAAATTTCCTAGTGTTTCTACTACCCAAGATCTTCTTTTGAGTGCATGGGACTGCTGTAAACCTTCTCCTGTCAAAACATAATTTAAAGCATGACACTTTATTCATTTAAGGTACTTTCAATATCATTTCTTTGAGATTGTGTTCTTTCTATTAATAATCTAGTAATGAATTCAAGTGTTATATCTCCTTTAAACCCATTGATATGTATGCTTCCAAAATCTTAGATCTGTATGTATAGTTTCTTCAGCTCTTTGAACACAAATACCCTGATTCATTCTTTTGAGGTAAACATCATAGAGACATCATAGATGATTATCAGAGTGTGTATCACAATCTTGACCTGACCATAAGGTCAATTAAAATAGTCTAAGGCACAACAAATGAAAGTGAAAACTTTTTTTTTATTAGAATACATAATTTTGTAACAAACTATAACACTGGAAAGTTACTCTCTTAATGACCCTTAATGTCTTCCAAGAGTTCAGTTTGGACTTCCTCCATTAATCCTTGTATCTTCTCCAATGGTTTTGTGGGCTAAAACTCATGTGTCTTTAACAACATTTTTTTTTTCTGACAACTGTTTTCTCTTACCATCTATAAACTTGACTTCTTCTCTAGTCAAAGGTCTTTCAGGGTAATCCAAGTATTTCTTACCCTCTTTTGGTAATAAATGGTTATATTCCTCATTGGCTTCTTCTGCAATCAAGGGTCTTTCTATGTAATCTCTGACAACATTAGGATCACCCTTCTCTGGACTTAATTGGTTATATTCTTGTTGAGAAATGATCTCAATAGTGCCATCTTTTTTATTCTAACTGTTATACCTCTGTCTACATCCTTCTCTAAAAAAAACTCTCTCTCCAAACTGAATTTTACTCATTCCTTCACTCTTTTTTTTACTGGTGGTGTTACCCATGGTTAATATGGAAAGTCAAATTCTGATGTTACACCTTGTATTTATACCCTTTTGTCTATATTTAGAATTCCATCAAGCTTATTAGGTCTTTCCACCTTTCTGTGGAAAGACCTATTGATATTCTTCTGTTTATTATTCTTTTTTTTTTTTATTATTTTTCCGCCGCATGTTTTTTTGTTTCAAGATTTATCGAAAAGATTTATAGTCCATAAGAATGTACTCCATAAAAGATTATTGCAGTTGACCCTGCGTAAATGAACCTTGACCCCTTTCGAAGTTATTGCCCCTTTTGCAAGAAATGTTTGTTATCGCTACTTCTCTGAAACCGTAAACCGCAGAGATTCCAAAACTTTATTAATGTTTACGACTGATTTAGTAGACTCTCCAGTCAAACATTGCGAAAGGATTCGTAAACTCCTATAATGAATTATTGCCCCTGAATGTTTGCAATGTTTAAGAATATCAAGAACTTTTCTAAAACGACAAGGCGTAGAGACATGGGACCAAGTGCAAAAGATTCATTGACCTTTGACCTTAAAATCTAGGTCAAGGTC